ATAAAAAAAAAAAAAAAAAAAAAAAAAAAAAAAAAAAAAAAAAAAAGGAGATTTCTTATCCCCGAGGGTAACTGTAAGTCATCATCTGCTACCTACCTGATGAAGCCACTGCCTTCAGAAAACTCCCAGTTCCTTCAAACTCCGTCGGTTTGGTTACCAAATGCTGTCAAACGTGCAATTATAGATATTTATAGTAGTTGAACAAATAAAATCACAATTTAATAGCTGATTTCATATATCTATACTTACACCTATGCCTATAGACATATCTGTACCCATATAATGTTACATACAATGTTATAATGCCGGTTTTAGAACTATTTTCCCCTGAGAAGTTGGACAGGGTAGGGATATATCCACTGAGGCCGCCCCTGTAACAGTTACAGGAGTGAGATTTTCCCGAGGAAGGTGAAGGATGAGGGGGGATGAATCGAGGGTCATTCCCTGGATTTTTGATTTGGTATCTAAATTAAAGGTTGGGTCATTCACATAATATAAATCAAATGGGGAAATATGATGGGTGTGAACTTGGACCTGTCGATTCTGATGTACAGGGAAGTTGGTCTGGAGTTCAGAGGAAATCACTGCAATGGAGAGGAAGAATCTCGGGTTATCAGTGCACAAGCAGTCCCCGAAATCAGGACCAGGACGTGGTCATTCGGGGGAGTGAGGATTCTGAGGACACGGAGGATGGAGCCCTGGGACACACCGACATCTAAGGGGCAGGTAGCGAACACGAAGCCCAAGAAGATGACAGAGGAGAGAGTTAGGGGAATGGGGGAAAATGAAGAGAGCTGTGCCACTAAATTGAAAGCGAGAGAGAACATCAGGGAGGAGTGTCAAAGGAAGCAGAATAAATATGTTTTCCCAGCATAATCTTGTCTGTGCTAAGCAAGGAAGGGTCTTTCAGTTTCAGAAACTGTTGGTACTTTTCATTCTTTTTCATCTCAGCTATTCTCAGGCCAACTTTAAAAGCAACCTTTGGAATCTGTATCACATACATACCTTGCTAGGGCCGCTGCTATAAATCACCACGAATGGAGTGGCTTAAAAATGACATAAATTTGTTTTCTCACAGCTCGAGAGTCCTAAAGCCCGAAATCAAGGTGTAGGCAGGGTGAGTTCCTTCTTAAGGGCTCAGAGGGGGAAAGTGTTCCTACCTTTCTCCTAACTTCCACTGGCGGCCAGCATTCCTCGGCTTGAGGCAGGATGACTCCAGGCTCTGCAGCAGTGGTCACACAGCCTTCCTCCTGTGTGTGCATCCAAGCTTCCCTCTTCCTCTATGGACAGCAGTCTTGGACTAATCCAGTATGACCTCATCTTATCTTGATTAAAGCTGCAAAACCAGTATTTTCAAGTAGGGTCATATTCTGAGGTTCTGGGTGGACATGAATTTTTTGGAGGACACCATTCAACCCACTATCCTAAGGGTATGATCACAAACTCACAAGTGCTATAGCAACTGCACTCTAGAGAGGGACAAGGTTAAGAAATTAGAATGGTGCACACAATAGTTAAATTTTAGGTGGGCACCTGTTGGAGGAGGTCACCGAGAGGACATGATTCCCACGTGACCCCAGAACTGGACTTGGGCAATCAGAGGCTCCCCTCCCCTCCCCTGACCTTGGATTTTATGTCCCACTGTTTGCTTACCAGAAGCCTTCAAAGGACGCTGCCTTGAAAGAATGTTACTGAGACCATCTGGACCGTATATTTTACTGAACCCGATTGAGGCCTCCACATAAACTCATTAGACTCGGGCGGAAGGGTGTGGAAATGTGCAGGCCTCTGGCCGCCCAGAGCACTCTCCTCTGTAAGTTCCCTTGCTTTTCAAATCTGCCACTTACCAATCGGGAGTGGTCACCTCCCTGCTGGTGGCCAGTTTCTAATCTCACTGGGGGAACTCCGGAGGTTTCCAACCAACAACCCCAAAGTGTTTGTGTTTTTTTTTTTTTGCACCGTAAGTTTCCTCCTGCTGTAAGAGGAGCCCAAAGTAAGTTAAAACTCACTTTGTAGAAATTGTTTGCACCCAGAATTTTCCACCCGGCATCTCATCGCCTCTAAGACGCCCCTCTGACCCATTGCTTTCAAGAAGAAAGCCACACTTTTTTACTCAGTGAAATTCAGACTCAGAAAGTCTTTCCAACAGGCTGGGACCTGGTCTGACAGTTTCCACAGCCACGCGGATTCCTAAACTAATGGACTCCTTAAAACTCTCCAAGTAATGGGAGGTGTGGCCAAGGACGCACATTTATTTAGACAAAAGGACCTTTCCTTCATTATCATCAAATATTTACTATGCGCCATTAGGTGTCAAGTGTATTCAGGCATAAAAGAAAAAGTTTCCCTGGGGTGACACTGGGGAGCAGAGCGCGGGGACAAGCAGAAAAGTAACCTTTGGAGTAACTCCGACGTCGATCTGAGCCGTCCAGTCAATTCAGAAGTCATCACTGGCCATCCTTCTGACCACTCTCGGACCCCTGCCACGCACCCCCAGTGCCTGCCACTAGAGATCCTATCCAGGGCCCCCAAACCCGGGGCGGAGCGGGCTTAGGGGACCAGCAGCAGTGCCCCGAGCCGGCCCCGGCCACGCGCGCCCACGCGTCCTCCGGGTGGGTCCCGGGCTGCGGGGGAGCGCGGGGGCGTCGGGGATTCCACACCAGCGCCAAAGTCCACGTGGCTCTCCACAGTGCACCCCAACTGTAAAGAGAGGGCGCATAGGGATGTGCAAGGTCCCGAATTTTAAACGTGTGTCTCAAAGATCGACGGCACTTTTCAGAGGGAAACTGGGCCATGCGGCAGCACCCCCGCCCCGGCTGGGCTGCGAAACGCGGGCGTCAGGATGGTTGGCGACGTTCCTGGACGGATCGAGGGCCAGGAGCTCAAACCTTTACTTCTCTGAACACAGAGAGAAGGCCACAGGCTCTGCCCAGGTGGGGATGCAGGCGGCCCGCGGGCGCACCCCGGCCCTCGGCGCCTGTCGCCTCCCCCCCGGGGGTCGTCCCCACCTTTCCGCCCCGGCCTCTCCCGCTCCGTCCCCCCTCCCTCCGCGGGGTCCCGCCCTCCTCCCGCAAGGTCCCG